GTTTGCAGAGTCGAAAGCCCACATACAGATTGATGGAAGTTTTCATATGTATCCATGGGCATTCAGGCATGCAGCATTTCTCGTCAACCGCTTTCGGGTGCTGGAGAAAGTGGGAAGGACGAGCCACGAACTTGCAACTGGACATGCCTACAATGGAAAGCTGGCACTATATGGTGAGACGGTACTCTTCAAGCGTTTGGTCAAGTACAAAGCCAGTGACACCTTCGAACAGGGTATCTGGGTTGGAAAGAACTGCTGGAATGACCAACATGTGATTCTGACCCCAGAAGGAGCTTTTGAGTTGTTGTTTCACGCTAGGATGTCTAATACATGTCTCACTTACCTACGTTTGGCTCAAGGAAAACCAGGTGCGACTTGTTGGTAGTTCTCGGTCGTTTACCTGTAACTACAGGTTATCAGCCGTATCGCCATAAGTGCGGTACGTGCTTTCTACTAGCTGTGGTCTCACCCCACCATAGGTAGTGCACTATCTAGAGGCCATGGTTGATGATGATGGTTCCCGTGGTGACCGCTCACGCTCAGGCTACGTTCCTACTTCGCCTGCGATGTCCAGTTCACCTGCTCCTGAGCTCCCTGTCGTTCCACTGGAGTTGCGTGTGCCAGTTGAGCCACCGACGTTCAGTGCACAGGGGGACCTGTTGCCTAGTGTTCAAGCACCGTCGCCGTTCCAACCTGAGTTTTCTCCTGTGATGAATGTCCAGAACGTTGATGCAAGACAAATTCATCAACAAGCAGTCTTCGTCAATGAGGATAGGTCAGCTCAGGTAGCTCAGATCGCGGAACTGCGGCATCAGGCCATTTTGGCCGAGCATGGGCAACAAGCAGCAGAGGATGCAAGACATTTTAGAGACTTAGTGGAGAACCAAGCTAAAGTGGCTGTCCAGGAGTCTAGGGAACAAATTGAGGCTTTAGCCAATCAACGATTGAGTGACATGAACCAAGCCCATCAAAATCAACATCTTCATGAACAACGGGCTTACCTAGATCGCCTTTCGCTCGAACGACACGCCGTCGTTGAGAACGAACGCGCCTCTGCCAAGCAAAGAGAGGATGCACTTCGGTCGGAGTTAGCCGAACAGAGTCGGATAATCAAGGAGTTGAGAGAGAGGTTTGACAACGCCTCGGGGAACCGAGTGCCTGCACCATCAATGCAGCCACTTGGGTCTCAGGTATCCCCAGCTTTGCCTCCGGTGAGCCTTCGCACTCAGTTGGAGAAGCCCGGGATCGAAGGCGGTGAAGAGCCTCATCCATCCGATGCTGATGAAGAGGGTGGTGACAAGTCAAAGAAAGACAAGAAGAAGAAAGGTAAAGAGAGGAAGAAAGAGAAGAGCCCAAAAAGGGGCCGCTCTAGAGAGCGCAGGAAGAAACGCTCTCCTTCCCCATCGCCTTCGTCACCCAGTTCGTCAGGAGGGAGTGATGACTCCAATGACTCAAGTTCTGAATCATCGCGTCTTGCACGCATCATCCGCAAGGAATTGAAGAAGCAGCAAAGGAAGTCGAAAGACAAAGATCATGAGAGTAAAGCCAAAGAGGCTGATAAGATTCTCATTCCTAAGTTCCCAACACCTGAGAAGTACAGAGACTGGAAGATCAAGGTGAGGGACAACATCGCTGCAGCTTCAGCAAAGCCGGATGAAGCGAGGTCATGGGTTGGGAAAGTGTACAAAGAGTCCCAAACCATTGATGCCTTGGATGATTCAGAGGGATTCGCAACCCTCGACGCAAAGCTTCTTGCTAGCTTGACCAATTGCGCTGAGGGGGACCTCGGTCGGCAGATTGCTACATTCAAGGAGCTGCGTGCTCGTGAAGACAAGAACGTGAAGGGTAGGCACTTGCTCCTTCGGTTCCACGAGTATTTTGCCACAAGCATCAAGCATGGAGCAATCTACGGATTCGAAGACCTCATGTCCGTCAAAATGGTCAACGATGACCTCAAGGGCTTTATAAATAAATGGGATAGCGTTCTTGCCGGAATGAAAAAGGAACCAGAAAATAGTGTTCTGGAAGCCTATTTCCACCTGGCAGTGAAACGTTTCAAGCCACTTGAGCATGATTTGGCCTTGTACGACCGTGCAGCCGATGGAAGCAAAGAAAGAACGTACGACTTCCTGATCACTGCTGCCCGGGCCTACCTCGAACGGAGAAGGTTGGAAAAGATGCGCGACGCCACGAAGCGTTCGCTCGGGTCCAAAGACACAACCATGCCAGCTCCGGAGGAGAAGAAAGGCATCTGCTACGAGTTTCAAAAGACCGGAAAATGCAAGCGCGGATCATCATGTCCTTACAAGCACGAAAAAGGCCGCGAGAAAAGCAAAGGAAAGGGAAAGGGTAAGGATCGCAGCCAATCTCGGTCAAGATCGCTGACACCAGGATCTCGCAAGGAGACTTGCAAGTTTTGGAAGGCAGGACATTGCCACCGAGGAAAAGAATGCGCATTCCAACACCCTGAAAAGACTGTCCCTGCGAAGAAAGAGGACAAAAAGAAGAAGAAGAAGAAAGACAAGAAACCTCGCAAGCGAAGCAGCTCACGAGGATCATCAGGCTCCGACAACTCAACTGGCTCTGAGAGTCAGAGGAGAAAAGGTGGGAAGTCTTCTTCTTCCAATGCACCGGCAGCGGTATGCCTCCTTCGAGCAGTGGTCATGGCCGCAGTGGTCTCTCAGGGATCCTCCGTCCTCATCACTCGCCCGCTGGGAAGCGTGGCCATGCCAGTCCTTTCCGCATCAGACACTATGTGCACCGATTTTGACAACACAGAAAACATTGACAATTTTGTTACGCAAAGAGTTCGTTTTGACGATCAACCAAACGTTTTCAATCATGCTGTTGAGTCTTCTTCCAGTTGGAGATCCGTTCAACCCCGAAGTAAGAAGAAACGAAGACCCTTTACACCAGGTCGACCGGAGCATGCTGAGGCAGTTCGTGTCGCTACTGAGGACGCATCCATTGCAGCATCACACCTTCAGAATGCTGTTAGGAACGAACTTTTGTCCTTGCCGGCAGAATGTTTGTACCTGTGCAACTCCGATATAGGTTGCATCAAGTGTTTTGAGAGGAGGTCACGTCCAACAGTGCTTGCCACTGAGATTGCATGGATCGCAGACACTGGGAGCGCACACGATCTTGTGTCTAGGCATATGCTACATTCGGATGAAGTGTCACAATCGTCCAAACCGGTCAGTCTTCTTACTGCCAACGGAGTCTTTCAAGCCACTGACCAAGCCAGAGTCAATGTCCCCGTGTTGGGAGCTGACATCAATCCTTACGTCTTGGAAGATAGCCCAGCCGTCGTATCGGTAGGACAACGCTGCATCGACGCAGGATGGAGCTTCCATTGGCCCGCTTACAGTAGGCCGTACTTCAAGAAACCAGACGGAACCAAAGTCAAACTTGAAGTAGAGGATTATGTTCCATACTTGCCATCAACCACTGGTGTTGCAATGTCCGCCATAGGTCAACCTTACGGTACGAACGATCGGTCAAGGGGACTGCGACCAATGATCCCTCTGCCCGCGTCGCCGGCTGAAGAGGCAATTGAGGTCCAGGACGATGAGGACAACCCCATCGGCGAGGATCCTGTTGAAGATGATCCCGAGCCAGTGGATGAAAGGTTGGTGGAGAAGCCGTTGGACCCGAAGAGGGATAGAGGAGAGAAAGCTCTTAAGGAAGAAGCACACCTAGAGGCTCCAACAGTCTCTTTTGGACATCGTTTCTGCATAAGACAGCTTTTGCTGTCGTTTGTGTTTTGTTCTTTTGCACGGTGGGCGCACGATGGCTGAAAGCTTGCATGCATTAGCTCTCCCAATGCCACGCTGGAGGGTTTAGTTGCCATTGTGTCAACGCACATGACAGGCGATGGTTGAAAGCTTGAGATTTGCAACTTGCACTAGCTCTCCCAATGCCACGCTGGAGGGTATAGTTGCCACTGTGTCAGCGCACTTGGTCAGGATAGTCTGTCTTAATACATGTGGGGATCGCTCGGCGTATCATAATCTACAAACATTAGAAACAAGGGTTGCGTTTTTCGATGGTTCGCTTTGAACCCGGGCACGGAAGAGTCAGTCGGAACCTACACAAAAAAAAACTGCCGGCCGTTGTCGCGTCACGTTTCGAGTTTGTGTGTTCAGCCCGCTTCGTTCTCTTTCTGGCGCCAATCTTACCGGTGTTACCGGTGCAGCCTCTTGCAAGGTGGAAGTTTTCTTTCACAAGGACGCTACTAGGGGTTCCTGGCATCGCTACTAGGCACAACAACGCTAACTAGGGGCTCCTGGCATCGCTACTAGGCACAAGGACGCTACTAGGGGCTCCAAAGAACTGTGCCTGGTGGTTCCCATGGGCTCAGGCTCGGGGTTCGGAAGGAGGTGCTGTTTGCAAGAGGCATTCACGGCACGGAAAGACGCATGAGCAACTGCCAAAACCACCGGGTAGATACTATTAAGCTTCAAAAAGGGAGAACCGATATGCATGGTAGAAAACCGGTAGTGCATGTTGTCATCTGTGTTCGCAAACCCTCAAAAACGAGGAGACTGTGCGCTACAGCACTTGAGGTTTGGCACATTGCTCACATGGTTTTTTGCATGAAGTGATTCAAGCATCGCGAGCAATCATGGAACACACGCATAACATATTTTGTAGTTGAACATCATGCAACTTCTGAACGCTTGGATCCATGATGGGTGCATGGGTCCCCTGAGCGCTCACGGCGTGGCAGACGCTCAGTGCCCTCCTGCGACATGTCGGGTGTTGGGCGAGTGGTCCGGCTGGAATGAGGTTTGAGTCCGGGGTCCCAAAAGAAGAACAGTGGCCGTAGCCGTAGAGTTTCACCTTTGTTCTATGGATGTTCACACTGATTGATTGAGTTCTCAACCCCTTTTGTTTGAAGCTGTGGTCATAGGAAGGTCGCTCGTGAATGTTGTTTGCCTTCCTGACAGCCCACCATTTTAGAGGACGTCGCCTGTACTTAGAGCTGTGCGCCTGCCATGGCAATCGTGGAGGATGGAAACCCCATTCTGGAAAGTCAGAGTCCGTTCTTTTTGCAATGGCGCTCTACCCGGCCCGGTCGGGTCTCATGGACCAAAGACGATGTCGCCCCTTAGTTCATAGTTTAGTTAATACATATTATATATTTATATATCATTTTATCTTTTTTCTTGTATACAAAACGGCCGAAAAGAAAAAGACACCCCCGAACCCTTGTCGCAAAACATGCCATTCCTTCAGTTATCCTCCCAAGGTTAGTTTGGCCACCTCCATGAAGAACAACCTTCCAGTGGAGGTTGTGAGCGTCATCAGTGACCCGAACTATAAGGGTGGGGCTCTCATCAACCTCAAGAACCCGATGGCCCGCCCTTCGGCCAATGAGCTGGCGAAGAACCACATCTGGCTTTTGCCTTTTGTGAAAGACAGTCCATCCAAGGCAAGGGTTCGGAAAAGAATTGTGAACAGTCTTAAGTGTGTGAAGGGGTTTTTGTTGTGAGTTAAGGGAACTTCAACGATTTGTCGTGGTCATTCTTGTGAGGTGCCATCGGGATACTACATGTGCGATGCATTTTTGATGCTGGATTTTCTCCTGGGCAAAAAGCTCTTCCGGCCAAAGCCTGGGGTGGAAACGCGGGCAGGCTTGGCATCCGAAGAGGCCGTCAAAGCCAAGCGGTGCTTGGGAAGCTTGAGATATCTATGGAGGAATAGCACATCAAGTCACGACCCCTACATCCTTGAGATGAAATCCTTTCTGCAGGCTTCGCCACTTCAGGGTGAGCGGCGTCGGCGGCGCCGCCGAGCTGCTGAGGATGAAGAAGAGGAGGAGAGTGAAGCCCTACAGGACGAGTCGGACGGGGAGGGCGAGGAGGCCGAACCTTTGCAGAACGAGCCTGCTGGAGATTGTCATGATGGCAGTGATAACGAAAGCACAGGCACGCCTTGCAAGTTGGCTTGGATGTCAATGTTTTTTGATGTTTTGTGTTTGAGTGTGTGTGTGTGTGAGTTTAGCCTTAATTCTGTGGAGTGGATTTGGTGTCTTGAAATTCAATGGCAGCCGAGGCGACAGTCCACCTGCAGCTGAAGGGCAAGACTCGCCAGTATCTTTGACTGCCTCCACTCGTCGATTGGGGGATTCACCGCCATCGGAGAAGGAAGAGGGAGAGGTGGATCTACGTGATTCCCAGGTTAGCTCAGGGTGGTTGGGCAAGTTCTATGCAGCATATGGAGGCAACAATCCAAGGTGCAAGCTTCCTGACCCTGAGCTTGATGGGGAGAGCATCAAGTCTGTCGAGGATGATGCTATGCCTGATTTGCAAGGTGACATGCTGCCAATCAGAGAGATCTTGGATGTCATCCAGGCTTCTTTGTCCAGCAATGGCCTGTTCGGTGAGTAACTTGCATGTTTCAGCCATCAAAGCTTCGGTGTTTTCTGTTTAAGCAGTTTGCCATTGGTATAAGTTGGATTTGGTTCGTGGGGAAATTGACCCTTTGGATAGTTGTTTTTCATTTTACTATGCAATTCAAACTGCAGGCATCCGATGATGCCAGATTACTTGGACTATTGCGACAAAGCCTTGACTAAACATGGCTCCTGCGTCGGTGACACACTTGCCAGCCGCCAGCACTTCCACGAATGGATTTACACCCAGAAAGCTGAGGACATTGTATCGAACATGAACATGTTTCTGTGCAGTCTACACTCCCAAACCCAAGTTGATATAAGTTGATATAGAGATATATAGAGTAATTATTATAGAGTCCATTCCTCCATACCATCTCCCAGGACTCTCCTTCACCGTCAGCGCCAGCTGAATGCAAGCCCAAGAAGGCCCCCTGTTGACGAGCATACGTTCAACCCGTTTCTGAACGCCAGCTGCGAGATTGGTTCACACATGCGGATTGAAATGTGTCATTACTTAGATCAAAGGCAAAAGGTTTCATTTGCAAGGTAAAAGAAGTATTTCAGCGGCCCAGCTGTGAGTTTGCCCGTCGTGAGGAAAGCGGGGGCGCTGCTATCTCAGAGGCTTTCAAGCTGATGAACATGGACGCACGAAAGGCTACAGAGTTGGACGGTGAACACATCATCACCCCAGCGACCAAAAAACCTCGCCTCACTGACAGCGTGGAGATGAATTTGAGCATCACACCACCACCACCTGTTGAGCGGCAATCTGTTTCTTTGCCCTCTTGAGAAGGGTTTGAAAACTATTGTGTGAATCTACAACAGTTACATCAGATCATACTCTGAATTCAGGTCCTGAATCTTCCTTTCGGGTGCACCGAACAAATAAATGTCTGACCCATGTGAACCACCGCGCCGAGGTTAAAGCGATGGCCAAGATCAAGAAGGAGTCCAAAGCCGCCCCGTCCCAAACATGCTCGGGGGAGCGGACAACCAGGTTCAGGGACTACAACTTGGAAGGGTTGCCTCACGAGGCGCTTCCTTTCAAGGGCATGGACTACAAAGGGAAACACAGCTACACTGTAGCTCTTGGCGACGCAGCCCCCCGGCCCACATAACAAAGACGTAACTATGTCTAAGTATGTCTAAGTTCAACCAAATTGCATGTCACCCATCATCCAAAAGGCCAATTGCTGGTCAACCATTCCCATTCACCAAGGCTTTGGAGGTCTTGTGCAAAGTCCAGGCGTACGTTGTCAAACGTCCACGTGATGGAACTGAGAGGCCAGGCGTTGCACAGGTCCTATGGAAGCGCCATGGTGGGCCTATCAAAGCGTGGGATGAAGCCAAGTCTCGCGCTGGACTCTAGGATAGTCTAGGATGGTTTTGTCTCGCGCACGCCTAAGCTGACCCGGTCTTTGGCCTTCAACTATATACATATATATATATATATATTGTCTTCTAAAGGATGTTCTAAATATATAGACACGAAATGTTTCCCATACATTCTCATCGATCTCAAGAGCCATGAACCGGGCAGCACGTGTGCCCATGTGTGGAGTTGCCACTGCTTTCAAAGAGCCTATGAAGGTTCTCGCGCACACCTAGGCTGACCCGGTCTTTGGCCTTCAACTATATATATATATATATTGTCTTCTGAAGTCTGGATGCTCTAAATAGACATTCAAAACCTCAAGACACCAAATGATTCCCCATATACCATCAATCTCAAGAGCCATGAGCCGGGCAGCACGTGTGCCCATGTGGGGTTGCCACTGCTTCCAATGAGCCTAGTGGCATCAGTGGGGGTTTTCGATCGTAGAACCGTAGAACACGGAATCGTACATGAGTACACGAAATCGCGCTGTGTGATCAGGGTTTTTCCATTTGGTATCCCTGTCAAATCCTTTCAGAGCGTGATAGACTGATGACTTGGGGGGTTATTTGAAGAGACATCATTTCATTGCAGCCGGGTCAACTCACCACAGAAGCTCAAGTCTGATCCTTCCACTCCAGGTACTGTGGCGCCTGGCGACCCTTGATCGAGCAAACAAGGACCTGCCAGGGTCGAGGTGGCCCATGGGGTTGCAGGTGGCCGTCTTGTTAAAACCCATATCCACATTGTAGCTGCTTTTGTTGATCACCAGCTGACTTCGATTCGTTTGTCCATGCCATGGCCCCCACTGCCAAAGAAATCAAGAAGGAGTCCAAGAAGGGGATGCCGTTTCCAAGGGCGCGTTTAGTGCGGCAGCCTCGAGACATGCGGGTTCGGCAGCTGTCAAACATATTGGCGGGATTGAACTACCTTCGCGCACCGGTGGCGACTTGTCTTCGAAGTTGCGCTGCTTTGGGGGGGTATGTGCGGGGCGAAGCTGCAGATACGGGATGTAACATGATGATGTAATATAATATGATCAATCTCGCTTGTGGGAACGCTCAGGTCGTGTGCACACTGGTGTCTTTATTGTTCACGGTGCCTGGCCTGCCGTGGGACAGGCCTATAGACCACTTAGAGGTATTTGCCGGTAAGATGGCTGTGACGCTGGCTGAGGTGGAGGCAGATAGGTGACCAAAGTTCATTTCATTTAAGCAAAAAAAGAGAGTTACCTGCATGTGTTGTGGGTGTCGTGTTTGTGGATAATACCAACAAGGTGTTCCTGCCCCCTGTCAGGCAGGACGCCGCGCTGTGCCCATTGACCTAGAGATCGGTGGATCGTCTATGGACCTGACCACGGACATTGGTTTCGCCAACTGCCTCTATCACGCTGCAAACCTCCGTGAAGGAGGAGCCTGCATGGCTGCACCTGTATGCGGGTCATTTGTGTTCATGAAACGTGGAGTATACACTGCAAAAGCTTTTGCGTTTCTTGATGCTTTGACAGGTCTAAGACACCAAAAGTCTTACTTCACGATCGCCTGAACCCCATCACTGTTTGCTGCGTCTGGCCGAGGAGTCGCGGCTCCACGCAGCGCTCGATTGCCAACCCGATGGGCCAGGGAGAGTCATGCCGCATAGGAAACTTGCTGGTTTCGCGATTGTGCGTGGTGCTCCTGATTTGCGCAGCCAAGTGTGTCTGGTTTTGCGTTGAACAACCTGGCACGAGCATCATGGAGTACCACACGCTTTTCCAAAGGTTCATCAAGATTGTAGCCGTCCGGAAACTGAAGTTCATGATGGGTGATTATGGTGCACCTACCTTGAAGCCTTCAATCCTCTACTCGAGTTGCTTGTCTCAGCTTCATGCCTTAAAAGGGGGGTTCCTTGCGTGTCCTCTCAACTCATTTGCTTTCAACCTCTGTTGGAGAGGCTCTGACAATATGTTGTATATTCGTTTGGCAACTTTGAAACCCTCTCAGTTAGGAAACGCCGAACCCTTCCGAAAGAACATGAATGTGTCTCTCTACTCCCAGGTCACAGGGCTGTGGACTTACTCCCGAATTACCAAGTTCGTCGACGCTTGGTGAAGAAACAAATGGTGAAACGCTACATGGATGGCAAAGGCAAACCCCGAGTCTGTGGTGGCGCAGACCTCAAGAGGTCGCAAGCCTATCCGAAGCAGTTTCTAGGCTAAGCATCTTTGTGAATCTTTGTGATGTTTTGCTGTAGGGTGAAAAAATCAATCTCCCATTCGGCGTCAACCTCTCTTGTTATTCCAACGCCCAGATTCGGTGTCGCCTTGGCGTCTTGCAGAACGAGCACAGCTAAAAGCAGGGCTCGGATGGCAAGGCAGTTCCTGCAGGCAGCACGGAAGAGTAGCAACCAAGCTGATGATCGAAGCCATGTGGACAAAGCGTGGCGAGACGGGGCCCAGTTGGACTCTGTCATGAAATTCTTGACTCAAAAGCCTTAGCTTTTGATTAGATGCAACACTTTACTTTCCCTTTCCCATGTTCAGTCGTGGGCCAAAATTCGACGCCATGGACTTTGAAGCAAAGCTTCATCGAGTTGGGGGATTCAAACAAAAAAGAGCATCGGGTCTCAAGCTGCTGTCAAACACACAGAAAGATCCTCCTCTCCTGCTGCGACACACCTGGGGGATCTTTAGGCTCCTGAGTCCTTGGCTAGAGCTATCAGGTAAACAATAAGATCCTTCTCTCCTGTTGCGACACACCTGGGGGATCTTTAGGCTCCTGAGTCCTTGGCTAGAGCTATCAGGTAAACAAGGGTATCTGGGGGCATCAAGTAGACAAGCTCCAAGGGCAACCAAGGGTATGAAACAACGAAGGTCTTGTAAGGGTATCTACGTGCTTTGCTAGGGCCATCGGATCATGCGCTAAGGGTCACCAAGGGTAACAAAGGGTATCAAGCCCTGGCTTCTCGCAGGACGAGCGCCGATGCCACGCCTCATCTTGAAACGGAGCTTGAGCATAGGTGCATCCTGCGTCATTTGAGATCTGGGAGAGTGGGGTTGGAGTGCGCAGATTGAATTGTTCTGGATATCATTCGATCAAAACCAGTTCAGACAGCTCTAAAAGTGCACAAGTAAATGATGCGAATAGATGCGAAATTGCTGCGAACAGGTGCGAAATGCTGCGAACTGTAGGTACCCCCCCCAAATACAAAGAAATGCGCAGGGACAGGTGAGGTCGAGGGCAGGTCACGGTCCGGCAGTGGTGCGAAATGCATGCTTCCGTTTGTATGTAGACTGTCTTTTGTGTGCTCAGGGCATTCGATTCCATCCCCTCTCCATTTGCGCCGTTGATGTCAGCACCGATGCGGCGTGTGCGAGAGAAGTCCTCGCCCGAAGAGGAGAAGGTATCCCGACCGTCTGCTTTGAGGCGACCCAGTGCAGACCAAAAGAAGACAAAAGAAGATAAGAAGACGAAGAAGGTGGAGGCAAAGGCCAAGAAGAATGATGGAGAGACAAACAAGAAAGAGGTCAAGAAGAGCAAAGAAAACAAAGACAAGAAGACAGTGAAGAGTGACCGTGACAAGAAGGGTGACAAGGGTCGTTCCAGCTCCAACTTGAAGGTGAAGGATTTGGAGAAGAAGTTGGACAAGAAGCTGGCTGCAGTGGCGGCAGCAAGTGTGTCCAAAAAAGACAAGGGTGACAGGAGGGAGAAGAAGGCGTCAAAGAAGCGCAAAGCCAACGAGGAGCCTGTGCAGTATGTCCCTGCTGTAAAGAGGCGGATTGAGCACTTGTTCAAGACCCCTGACAGCAGAAAGGCCATCCGGCCGTCGCCTGTACCCTCAGATCAGCCAAGCACAAAGAGTCAAAAGGAGCGCTTGCAAGAGCTGCAGGCCTACCTTGAAGCCACAGGCTCTGACAAGTCTGACTCTGAGGATGGGGCTGAGAGCTTGTCTCAGGCTGAAAAGTCAGAGGCTGAAGATGAAGAATCTTCTGACGAGCGTGAGGGAGCTGAGATTGATCAAGAAGAAGATGATGATGATGAGTCAGAGGATGAATCGGAAGGAGAAGGCAGTGACCAGAGCGAGGCAGAAGAAGGGGAAGAAGATGGAGAATGCGAAGGAGAAGATCGCGAAGAAGAGGCTGATGCTGACGCTGAGGCTGGGGAGCCTGGGGAGCTTGTGGAGCCAACTTCTCATGCTTTGGTGCCTGTGGTGATGGCTGCAGAGCAGTCTGTGGAACCTGTCGCCACTGTTCGACGTAACAGTTACTTATCTATGTACTCAACATAGTTGGCTTTACCATTTTTTACTGTGGTCTTCAAATTCATCAAGTCATAGATCATGCTTCAAACTGTTGCGCATCAACTCATAAATCATGCTAAGGCGTTACGAACAAAAAGGATTGGGATTCCTTTGTGCGATCTCAAGGCAGGTTCAAAGTCCATGACTATTACACGAACAACAAACTTGATTGCTTCAACATGTGGCTGGATCACGGCAAATCGTGGGATAGTGTTGCGCTTGCGGTGTCTCGCCTCCACACCCAGCAGAATGAGTCCACCAAAGGCATGACCTCAGTCCAAGGGAAAGAGCTGAAGAAATCCCACACTCCCGAAAAGTATGAAGCCTTGGTGAAGGCCCGTAAGGAGTCTGGCATGTGGTACCCCAGCACTGACTTCCCAGATGACCCCGATGAACCTCAGCTCATATTGAGCAAAGCCTTTCTAGTCTCCTTTTCCCCGTCGCAGTGTCTATGTATATGTATATACATATATGTATATGTTTGGTTCTATGTACCAACATATACGTAAGGAAGCTTGGTACTACATGCCAGCTGCCAAGACGGTGACCCAGAAGGATATCACATCTGAAAGCATGCAGCTCTCAGCAACCACTTCGGTGGATAGTGGCTTGCTGGAAGCTATCACGGATACAGATCATGGTTTCATGCGTGTTGGGGCAATGCCAGCTGTGGAGACCGCTTCGGCTGCGGGTAGCAAGGCTCTTCTGGATGCTATGGGTAAGGCGTGCGCCAAAAAGTCAAAGACAAAGACATCCTACGCGTGTTGGTCTTCTAAGCGTTCTACCTTCACACTGCTTCTGCCTTTCTGCCTTTCTGGCTTGTGTTGGTGGGTTCAAAAAGGATGCAAAAGATCCTACAATGTCTTCTAAGTCCACGCTGCGTCTTCACATGTCCGTTCAAAAAGAATGCAAACTAAAAGGTCTTCTGAGTATATGCTGCTGTCTTTCCACTTCACATGTTCATTCAAAAAGATTGCGAAGAAATCTTGAAAGGTGTTCTAAGTAACTTCAACTTCACACGTTCATTCAAAACGAATGCAAAGAAATCAAGAATGCGAAGAAATATTGAAAGGTGTTCTAAGTAACTTCACATGTTCATTCAAAAAGAATGCAAAGAAATCAAGAATGCGAAGAAATCTAGAAAGGTGTTCTAAGTAACTTCACATGTTCATTCAAAAAAATGTCTTCTAAGATCTTCTAAGAGATCCTAAAAGTTCTTCAAGCTTCAACCATCTCTGAAGATCCGTGCCCACCAGGCCGTGGTGAAGAAGAAGGTGGCGAAGGAGCCTGAGGAGGACAAGTCCAAGAAGCTCGAGCCGCAATCTATCACAGAGAGGCTTCAGGAAGGGAGCGTTGAGGCTTTGAAGCTGGCTGGTCAGGCAAGGATTGACTCCATCACCCTTGCAGGCCTTGACTACGCTGAAGATCTTAGTGCAGCCCTTATGAAGAACGCCAGTGAGACTGAAGTATTCTACAAGAAAGTTCAGGGTGCGCTGAAGAAGAAGGTGAGTGACAAAGAGCTCAAGCCCTACATCGCGATTATGGAAGGTAAAGTTCAGCTGATGAAGAAAATGAAGGCTGGGTCCATGACTCATTGCGGTCAAGTCTGACTGAACATCAAAAGGGCAACTACTGGGATTGTACATTTTATTGAAGGTAACAAGTTATACTGTTTTTATATCCCAGATCAAAAAGAAGATACCGCTGAATTCATCGTCAGGTTCAACACCACTATCACTACCATCCAATGGCTGGAAACTTCCCAGAGACATCCTGAGACTTCGCGCCTGTCCAGGCAGCAGCTGCAGCTTTCCTCTCCAGCAAGAAGGGATCGAAGAGGAAGAGTAAGAAGGGCAAGGAATCGAGTGCCAAAGGCAAGTGAACAAGTGTGACTGCTCTTTTCATGAGCTAGTCATTTTGGGGGGCTTCAAAACAGAAGCTGTGGGTAGCCGTGGTTAGGTGCGTGATGACAGTAGGCCATTGACAGAGGATTGATATTCTGTCAACTGTGCAGAGTCATCTGAACTCCAGTTCGAACACGGCAGCTGAGCTTGAGAAAAGAAGGTACTACACTGCGAGGAAGATAGAAACACTGTTTGAAAGTCGTACATCAAATCCAACCGTTTTTGATCCCAAGAGTTCTGAGAGAGCGCATTACCATTCGACCGCCCCTTAACCCAATCTCTGATCGCTCGAGCGCCCTTCAACCCAATCTCTGACCGCCTTCATTCTTGACCGCCCTCATCCAGCTCGCCAGGTCTACAATCTTCGAGGCCGGCCTGGGCAGCTCAGAAATCAGGGATAGCTTTTTGAAAGAACACGCCGACACGAGGATCCATCCATATAGAACATGTCCCTCCAAAAAACAGAGAACCCATTCGCTAGAGCTGGCAGGAAGAGGCAACGCTTGGAGACTTACAGCCAATCCCAAACAGTTACCAAACTGGTAGAGCTTATTGGCACGGGCAAACTCAGTGTCATTGGCGCAGTGGACCTTGCAAACTGCATGATAGAAGATGGAGCTGATCATGAAGCAGTTTGCGCCTTTAGCTCTCTTGGCACCAATGGTCAAAACCCTCAAAATTGTGAACGTGATTTGCACCGATGGCTTGAAGGTCTTGGCATGCGACTTCAGCCCTACACAGTAACGATGGACCTCCAAGTGCTTTTGATTACAAATTCAGTGTGTACGCTACAGCATGGAAAGCCTTGTAGGGGTTTTGATAGCCTGGTACTTTCCAAAGACTTGTTTTCCCTATCACCGTAGGGGTTTTGAAAGCGGGCTTTCTTTATCTCAGCGCCACCCCTTCCCAGTCTGAGGTGGAGAGCCATGAACTGCGACCGCGCGAAGTCTCGGTGCTCCTGCCGCACGAGTTGATCCACTGCTTGTCGCAAGATGCATTCGCCTTTAGCTCAATCTTTCTGGGTAACATGAACAAGCCTGCCCGTGTTGGCTTTTGGGAGCATGCAAAAACTCTAGCTCCATGGAGGGATCACCCGGTCTTGCGAAGCTGTGCCCCAGAGCGTTTGATTCCTCTGACAATACACGGAGACGGTGCTCAATTCTTTAGAGACGATGAACACTATGTCTATAGTATCTCATCACTCTTTGGCTGCAATGGATGCATACAAACATCACTGTTGAGCAAATTCCCCATTGCAATAATCCCTGAACGATGGATGCGCTCATCAAGAGCTACTTGGCGTTTGCTTTCAAGCCCTGTGCCCCATGTCTTCCGTGTTTTACAAATGTACCCACCACTAAATCATGGTTCTCTCTTTGGATGAGGCCCAGAAGTCCGTCAACAACACAGTGGCCCGGCTTGTGGCCTGGAGCTTGAAGTGCTCAGCCGAAGGAGTTGCGCCTGACACAGGCTTGTACGGTGAGCCGCTGACTGGATTCAGGGCAGAGATGAAGGGGAAGTCTCTAGGCCCCTGGAAGTCACTAGTCACAATGAATGAATTTTCTTATATTTTCTTATTTCATTACAATGTAAACCCCTCGTATGCAGTATGCATATAAGAATCGTGTTGTGGAAACAACGTCGCTAAGGGGTGCATACTTTGCTTTCAAGGCCGACCTAAAGGCTCGCAAATGGATGCATTCCTTTGAACGATACTACAAAGCAAAGTTGCATTCTGGCATGCGTAAGCTTAGAATTTTCTACTTTTCCCATGCAAACAGTGATCTTGCCATAAAAGGTCACCACGAACCCTTCGTCGTGAACATGTAACGTGCTTACAGAGTATTCGCCATAGCTAAGGATCTGTGACTCTTGCTTGGTTTCCTCAGGGTGCAATTGCCCTCCCGAAATGAACTTCAAGAACTTTGGCGAGGATGCTGCGTGGCCTCTCACCACAGTCACTCACGAAGACTACATGAGGATGCCCGGTCCAAAGAGTGATTGGCTTCAGGTCGAAGGGTTTCGGCTGGAGAACCTTGCATTTGATTTTATGCACAATGTCTTTTTGGGCACGGCGAGGGATTTATGTGGTTCATCCATCAGAGTTCTGCTCCGCTTTGGGTGGTACGACCATGTGGAGGGCGATATCGATTGCAAGCTCGCAGCCATCCAACGGGAGATGGTTAGAGATTGTCGCGATCTTGGGTGTTTGGATTGGACATCAACGTTTTGGTATGTTGCCACCAGAATAGGTCTTGGTGTTGAGGGTTCATGTGGGGCCGAAAACAACAATCTGCACTTCACTTCAAAATAGTTTTAATGTTCAACTTCTGCCCAGGTTCTTCATGCCAAAGAAACCGGTCCTGACAGAAGCGAATCTTTGTAAAGAGGATTACGCCCAGCTCGGAACACGATTCAAGGCTTCCCATGTAAAGCTGATTGTCTTCTGGGTTGCAAGGAAGGTGCAAAAGTCCAGTGAACGTGCGCCAAATGAGGTGGCCAAGATGAGACCGATTAATTTTATATTTGTTTTCAACCCTTGTTGGGCGTAGCAGGTGGTTTGGTCCTGTCGATCGATCGTGCACCACTCCCAGGATCGAGTTATCCATGTGCTTGCAGCCTGCACCTATGCTTTGCAGCGGTGCATTGATTTGTGTGATGCCAGCGGTCTGCTTCTAGACACTTCAGCTGCCTGTGAAGCTGCTGACAGCTTAGTGTTGCACCTCAAGACCTACTCGTGGTTAGCTGCTTTCTTTTTTGCGGAGAGGGCGCTACTTTTTAAGGTTCGCCCAAAGCATCATTACATGTTTCACCAGGCCATGCAGCTCAAAGCCTGGAGGATTAATCTCAATGGCTTTGCGACGTGGGATGAAGAAGGATTTTTGGGGCAGATTAAAGCAATCGCTATTGCTTGTCACGGCGCAACAGCCACCCAGCGAGTGTACCAGAGGTACCTACTTGTCCTAGCTCTCATGGTCCAAAGGCACCGTGAGTTGAACGACCTTTAGATTGCGGGTCGGGCATGGGTCACCAAAGAATGAAAAATTAAGAGAAAGGTGTTGACAGTGCAGTGAATGAACTCCATGCCCATGGGGAATGGGGAAGCCCTGCGGGAGCTTCGGACGCGCGCCTCCAAACCATGGAGGAAAAAACATGGCGGCTGCCCGCTACCCACGGCGCCCTGAATAGTTACCACCTATACATCCATGGGGCACGTGATGGCCATGAAGATGTGGGATTTGATGTCGCCAGCGGTTCACCTAGTTGCTCTGCATGTCGGCGTGTGTGTGTGTCTGTTTTTTTACCTTTTCTTAGGTTCGGTGTAGTGTTCGGTGTATAATATATATATATAGGTAAATAATAGATACGTGAAAATGACTGCGGGAAGCCAAGAGCGGCGCGCGTATGCACACCTTGAGTTCCAAAGCCAAAACGTTCTTTAAAAACCAACGTTTCACGGAAACGGCCACGCTCTAAGCGCAAACGCTCTTTTAAAAAAACGTTTCACGGAAACGACCACGCTCTAAGCACAAACGTTCTTTAAAAACAACGTTTCACGGAAACGACCACGCCCTAAGCAGGCGCTTTTAAAGAACAACGTTGGATGGAAACGGGCACGCTGAGCAGCACGCTGTCTGGAAAACACGTTTGGTGGAAACGGCCACGCTGAGGGGAGCGGGCGCTGTCTGAAAAACACGTTTGGTGGAAACGACCACGCTGTGCCATGAAACCATACCCACAAAGTGGCCATGCTACACTCCAAGGCTGCTATAGTCAAGAATTTTGCGTTTTTAACTTTTTTGTGCTCTGCGATGCAAACGACAGCGTTTGCTGCTGGTGAAAGCGTTATTATCAAAACATTGCCAATTGCATACAATGATGTCCTATTGGCGACGTTGGATCCTCTAGGCAATCCGTTCAGCATCTGTTGACTCATACCCCGAAGAACCCCTTTTGTCAAGCCTGCTCGAGAGCAAAGATGACCAAACGTCCATCGTATAGCAAGGGTGGTTCAACCCAGGTAGATGCGGATCATTTCGGACAACATTTGACTGCTGACCATCTCGTTATTCGTGACGATGAGGAAATGGACATCGATGGGGCTCGCGTCGCATTGGTCGTGAAAGATGTGGCAACGGATTTCAGATATGTCTATCCGGCCGCACGTCGATCAACACGTGAATGCATAGCAGCCTTCAAGCATTTTGTCCGTTCGACTGATGATGTAGGAGTATTTTATTCCGACAATTCACCAGAACTCATCGCGACTGCCGAAAGGCTAGGATGGAGGCATCAAACCAGCTTTGCATACGTCTCTAAGACTAACGCTATGGCTGAGAGATCGATTCGGTCTGTCATCGATGGAACAAGGGTAAACCTAGAGCAAGCTGGCCTACACCATCAATATTGGGCTCACGCTGCCAGGCATGCATGCATGGCAAACAACATCGTCGACACCCGGGAGGGTAGTTCGCCTTGGTCGCTTCGATTCGGTGAGAAGTTCACAGGCCCTTTGGTTCCCTTTGGGTTGAGGATTGATTACTGGATCGGCCCCAAGAACAAAGCCAAATCCTCTCTCAGGTTCGAGCCAACGTCAAACCCAGGGATATTCTTGGGATATGCCGTTCAGTCCAATTTTGTGTGGAGAAAGGAGTTCATGGTTCTACCATTGAAGGATGTCATGGAATCAGACTTCAGTGCGGAGATTCAACCATTAAGAGTCCATCAGATCGCCGTTCCCGACATCGGGTTACACTTCCCATGCAAAGGCAGGTACAACATGATCAGAGAAGGTTTGTACCCAGGCATTTCCATTTCGAGCAATCCGCCATCAATTGATGATGTCAAGGCTGCAAACATTGAAGAGCTTGTTGATCAGGAGGTTTTGAAACATGCTGTTGACCAAGAGTATGAACCTGATGAACCACCAGAACTCCCTGACGTGCTTGTTGACGACGCACCCATCGCCGCTCGCGGGTCGGGAGACCTTGCCGACGATCCGGGGGGTGAAGAGGTTGAGATGATTGAGGTTCTTGATCCTGTTACGGGTGAAACGACTTTGATCCCCAAAACCGATTCATCTTACTATGATGCCGGAGGTTACAAGGCAAGAAAATACAAGGGTTCGTCAAAACCACCCAGCATTCCTCCGTTCCTTTGGAAAGCCGCTTCCAAAGCAGAGAGGAAGAAGGCGATTGCAGAGTATGAGCTTGAAGAGGCTCGGAAGCGCCTTCTTGCTGAGAAGAGCAAGCATAAAGCAGCCGTGGCAGAGATTGACGGCAAACTGCGAAATTTCAAGAGCGGAGACATCCCCTCTGAAACGAAAATGGACGCCACCTGGGAAGGTGTGCCTTTGATGCCGGTTGAACATGAGGAGAAACAGCATTCACATAGAGAAAAAGGAGTTCTGTATGAGCCATGGCTAAACGCACTAGTGGCGAGGCCTGTAGGCCAAAAGGAAATCCGCAACACCCCAGATGCTCAACGCTCCCTCGACGTTGAGTGGGTGAAGCTGGAGTCCAAGCCCGCTTGGCTTTATGATAAGGTCCGCGAATGGGACGAAGTCTCAACCGAAGCAGTCCGTTCAAAAGCCAAGGTCCATGTAGGTAATGTTTTCGAACTCTGTGTTGAGAAAGGCAGTGAGCTTCCGAAAGGAAACCCCCTTAGGAAGTACAAAGGTCGGACAGTGTTCCAGGGGAACAAGGTCAAAGACGAGTCCGACATGGTTGCCCTCTTTTCAGAGCTAGGATCAGCGCCTGCGAACATGGAGGCGGGCAAAGCCCTCGACTGCTACGGCAGCGCGCCCGGGAATAAAATCACCCAGGGCGACGGCAAACAAGCCTACACCCAAACCACTTTGAAGGGGAAACCCACCTGGATCAGGATCCCGAAATACCGGTGGCCGAAAGCATGGCACGGTAAGTATAAAGATCCTGTCATCCCGCTCGTACTTGCTCTCTATGGTCACCCAGACTCAGGCGGATTCTGGGAGAGGCACTGCGAGGATTGTCTCGCAAAGGTCGGCTTCAAGGCCGTGCACCCTGAGTGCTGGCCATCGATCTTTTGGCATGACAAATTGTTCCTCTTGTTAGCGGTCTATGTAGATGACTTCAAAATGGCCGGACCTGCGTCCAACCATGCGGAGGGGTGGAAGCTCATTGGCACCCACATCGATATGGATACCCCAGAAGATGTGGGGAGATACTTGGGCTGTGATCATGTTGTCACACATGGCATCAAGCTGTCCACTGACCATCACCCATTCGCGCATGTTTTCGACCACAAGCTCGAAGATCCTGCTAGTAAGCCAGCGGCTCCCGCACGCCGAACACAGGATTATTGGACTCATTTCCCTGAGCATGGTACCTTTGTGCATCACCACGTTCAACCCCGAAGGCGCTTTGAAATCAGGCCTGCTGGCGTTGAAGGGTTGTTTGATCCTGGAGATCTAAGGTACACGGAATATGTCCCATGCACGGAGGGATCCGCTGCCAAGGACACGGGGGGTACCGCGTGTGTTTGGCACGACATCAAGGTTGACCGGCAACAGGGATTGCCCTTTTGGTGGACAGGGGAGACCTTCTTCATCGACAGGTGCATTTCCGACCCCAAGATGGCTGTTGCAGCCGTCAAAAAGATGAGGGACAAGAGTCAGGCCAAGAAGGCCGCACGTGCCCAAGGATTCACATTTTTGGATCAACTTGAAGATGATCAGAGTTGCATGAACAAGCCTGTGACACGGGTCGAATACGACATGCGTGGCTTTCTGAGGCAATGCCTTGAGAAGTATGAGAGTCTCGTCGATCAGCCCGTGAAGTTCAAGACAGTCAACACTCCGTTTCACGACGATAAGATTGCTAGACCCATAGGTGATGAGGCAGAACGCCGGGGGGAACTCCAGGCCATCGCGAGTCGAGTCCTCATGAAAGTGTTGTTCGCAGCACGCATGGCACGTTTTGACTTGCTCAGAGCGACTCAAGGTCTTGCCAGCCGTGTCACCAAGTGGTCAAAAGAGTGTGATGTTGCACTGCGTAGGCTAATGTGCTATATCTACTCCACAATCGACGTCGTGCAATCAGGTTTCATCGGAGATGATCCCCAACATTGCAAACTGTGGTTGTTTGCCGACAGTGACCATGCCGGAGAGCATGATAGTCGTTCAACTTCAGGTTGCATTCTGGCCATGGTAGGTCCAAACACCTACTTTCCCCTTACTGCGTTTTCGAAAAAGCAGACGGCCACCGCCATGAGCTCGACGGAAGCGGAAGTAATCGCCGCTAACCTGTCGATTCGCACAGTTGGTTTACCTTCCTCCTGTCTTTGGCAAGTCATACGGCAGGCGGGGGGAGTCACAAACGCCAATGTGCAAAGCTCGGCCGTGGGGACACGTGCCCGGAACGCGAAAGTCGATGTTTGGGAGTTTGATCCATTGAAAGATCAGGTGATTAGGAGACATGTTGAACCCAGACACACCCTATTTGACCCAAGAGACTGTGACGACTGCCCAGTCGATCATAAGTTCCTGTCAGCCCAAAGGATCACGATTGCACAATTCAAGGATGGCACCTTTGATGCAGACGTGAGCTGGGATTGGTCCAGCAGGGAAGGACAGAGAGTCATGAAGGGGGAATGGACGGGTATGACTATTTTCCGAGTGCCTGGCCCGAACGAAATCGATTATGGTGTTGAATCACGAGAAATTAGGAACGCACTCACTGACTCATGTTACGTTGGTCAAGGTCGGGAAGGTTCCATGGACATTTACCTCATAGGTAAAGGAGCTTTCGAAATCGTGTTTCTGGAAGACAATCAGGCGACCATTAGAATCCTTGAATCAGGCAGGTCACCCGCTTTCCGGCACGCAGACAAGACGCAACGATTGAACCTTGCGTGGTTAGCTGAACAGTTCCAACGGAAGCATTTCACGCTTGTTTATGTTCCATCCCTTCTTCAAGCAGCGGACATTTTCACCAAACCATTCACCAGTACCGAGAAGTGGAATCAACTA